AAGAATTCTGCACTCTTACTTTTAATGGAGTACATGTTATTTTCCACTTGACACACACACACACACTCATTATACACAGCATACATTCACAGGGACTTGTGCGCCGCTCCGGGTTTTATTTGCAACTTTAATCTGAGACTTGGCTACATCATCGACTGGAGTTTGGATGCAGCTTTACAGAAATCCTTGAGAAGTATTCCTGGTGGAAATGTGAGATGACGGCAGCCTTTCACCCTTTGCAAAATCCCCCTTGATGACGCATTTCTCCAAGACCAAGCTGGTTACATCTCAGAAATCAACGGATCTTTTTATAGCAATTTCTTAGTCAGATTATTTCACATTCTCATCAAAACAAATGCACCTACATTTGTCTTAATCATGTCTTCTTGCAGCAGACATGTTTCCCTTATTTTCTGGAAACTGTCAAGGTTTAAGTTTTATAGAAGATGCAGATGATCCAAAAGGATCAGTCGTCATCTCATGAGGATGACGAAGAAGATGTGAGAGGGTAGAGCAGCACAGGATATTTATTTACATCTGTGTGTCTGTCTGTGTGAAGAGTCTGTATGTGTGTGTGACTGTGTGCGCGTTTGGGCGTGTCTTATTTTGTTTGTTTTTGTGTAAATCAAAGGTACACTGAGTGTCTCTAACACGCCTCCTTCTCGTTGTGCAGTATGAGGAATGCCAGTGGGCTGACGGCTGCCAACCTGGCCCACGCCCAGGGATTCCAGGAGTGCGCTGAGATTCTCTCCAATGCCCAGAACTTCCAACAAAACATGGCCCAGTCCCACAACGGGACTTTTCTGAATGGCATGACCCAGAATGGGGGCCACGGTCGCCCCACGATCCAGGGACGCAGCTTCTTGAATGGCGCGCCCAACAGAAAGAGGTCTTTTGATGGCATGGAAGCAAACCCAGGGAAAAAGGCTAGACCTAATGGTAGGTCACTCAGCTCATCAGATTCTATTGTTGCTTTGGGCAATGAAAATCTTATGACCCGAGCTCCTCCAACGATGCAACATATATAATAAAATACAAATAAAAAATATTGCAAGAAGTCTATATACATGTAAATAGAATATGATGTGTACAAGAACAGAATGTGAAATTAAATATTGTACATTAACACGAAATTAAATACGGTTTATTCCGGTGATAACTATTTAGATAAATAAGTAGATTGCAAGATGACAATCAGATGAATGTTTATCTAGGCACTTAACAGAACTCAGGTGTTTAACAGTCTTATGGCCTGTGGGATCAAACTGTCCCCGAGTCTGGTGGTTTTACTCCGGATACTGCGGTACTGCCTGAGCGCCCTGCAATAGTGAGCTTGTACTCTCTAGTCTTCAAAGTAGATGCAGGCGCATAAAGATATGCAGCTGGGGACTAACATCTTAACCCAGACTTTCTGCCATGTTTGAAGTTAAAAAGTTATTTTTTCGAATATCATTCCTATTGTTTGTGTCTGCATCTTGCTCTCAGGTCTGGGCATGCCAGCAGAGCTGCGCAATGGGAGCGGGCCACTGGGTGGTGCTGGAGAAGCCCAGATGGAAACCATGAACATGGAGTCGACTGTAACCTCAGGTGGGCCAGGACCCTTTGCTTTTGGGCTAAATGGGGTTGCACCCCCACAAGGGCTGGGGGCCTTGGATCAGTGTGCGGACAGAGGGGGGCCGGAGAGGTCCTACCCTGCCACTAAAGAGCTGGAGGTCATCACTGTGGCATCGATGCAGACCCCCTGTCGCTGCACCAACTCTTATGCCTACCTGTAGAGGGCTTGTGCTAATGTTCACATTGTGCAGTATATCTCTTTGGTATCGTCGGGCACATTTTAATTTTGCATATACTGCATGCATAAAAGATACATTTGTTTTGATTTGGTGGTAAGCTACATTTGAACAATGTATAGCAGTGTGTGTTGTATTTTATACTTTTCCATGTACCTAACTATACTCTGACGGATACAAAAAAATGAGATTTCTTTGTTATACTAAATGCATCCGTCCAGTTATACAGATAGTTGTTGTGTATACCTTTTTATTTTTAAGGATCATGATAAAAGGAGTTTTGTTTTGCACAATTATACGGCAGCATCCCAGATAACGCAAACGTATTGGCATTCCCTTCAAACAGCAGTGCAACCGAATGTAGGTCATATTGGCTCAATGGATAAAAATAGTCTTGGTCGAGTTCTAAATCAGTCATGACTACCTGTTAGATTATGCCTCGTTGCATAATAGGAAAAACGTCAACTTCATTGGTCACCTGAATATGTTACTACGGTAACGTCTGATTTTCTGTATGGAATGGCTAAAGCATGATCATCCCATATAGCTTAGAAAAAGTGTTTCTTTGCAATCCTATTAAGAGAAATCTATATAGACATGATATGTAATATCTACATGGTGATTACCTTTTAGTGATATGTTGAGTTTACTGAAGCTGATTGATTATGACATTTATATAAAAATGATTAGGGCCTTAGCACTCTTTAATATACACTTTAGCTGACGCTGTTTTGTATTCCAGAATTTGTATATGCCAAGGCATATCCCCAAATGAATGTAGCTGGTAAAGTATAAACGATGCAGCTTTCCTGTAGTTTGTAGATGTCATGTACTCAGACATTGTGTTCCATTAACTTGGAGTTTGGTTATTCCTGTTTTTCATGTTCGTTTATTTGGGCTGTGCTTATTTGATGGTTAAATATGGTGAATGTTTATTAGGCAACTATAGCAGAGCTTGCACATCTGTATGTTATATTCTAAAACCAGTCTGATTTTGTAATTGGTACTTGGCCATTTTACAATCAGTAGTTATGAGTTAACCATACCGCTCAAGAAAGTTTGCATGGATTTGCAAAAAGCCTTATTTCTTGAGCTGTATTGAGTAGTGGAACAGTCACTTTTGGTAAGGGACATTCTTCTTTCTGAATTTTGTGTTTCATGTTACAGTTTTTTGTTTATTTCGTTCGACATGGCTGAACATTTGAGTGTATAGACTTTACCTTTGGAACATCCGATGCTTAGTACTGAGAAGGTTGAGCTTTGTACTTTATTGTGTGAAATCATTAAATGTTGATTAATTTGATAAATGTGACTGTGGTGGACCTTTGTTTTCTTGATGTACTGTATCGTCATGCATCTGTCAAGTCCTGTTTATGGTTTCTGGAGTGCAAAACAAGGACTAAACTTCTCTAATTTGAGTTGGGATTATGCCAACATGTTTTGTAGATTTAAGGTTTCCTAGAGGGGTATCTTAAATATCAAAGTGGAGACAGAAACGTGTCCTTGACATACAGCTGTAACTGTAGGTCAAAGCGACCTCAGATCAGGATTTGAAACAGCAGGAAACATGTGGCTTAATGTAAGGCTTTGGAATTTACTTTGAAAACTGTTGATTTACTTTTTCTAAAAGTATTTGCTTGTAATACCCTTCTAATAGTTGTGCAAAACAAAATCAATCCTCCCTGTCTCTCTTGTTATATTTAAAGAAGCAGGAATATGGTAACACAATTATTATATCCAGTATATATCCCCTTTGACAATTTGTCTCATTTTCAGTGGCAGGTGAGAGACTCAGTGGGGATTTTTCCTCAAATGGTCACAATCTACCACAGCCTTCAGTTTGGTGTGATCCTGCAGCTGAGATCCTCCAGAGCCAGCTCCTCTACAGCGACTCCTCTGAGAGCGGCGGCAGCGCAGGCAGCCAGGTGGAGCACCAGAGGTCTGTGAAGGCAGAGCAGCTGTACGACCATGCCTTCTTCACCACCATGCTCCTTTACCATGGATCCTAAAGTACAAAAGATGTTGACAAGCTGTCTGCTTTTGCCTGAATGTCATATAAGCCTAAAAAAAAGTGTTGATTTGCCTTAAAGCCATTGAGTGGTGCAGTTATTCATTGAATGTTTTTGGTTTTGGAAAGGGCAGGCCCATTGTTGTGGACTGATATATGTTACTGATTGATTGTTGATTAAGAAGTGGATTAGTTTGTTTTGTTAAAGAGAAAGTGTTTTTTGTTTATAATTAACGTTTGATCCAGCTGTAAATAGCCTTGTTCTAATATACTCTAAACTAAGCATTAACTTACCAGTGACAATACTTACATTTTGTTTGTGTCAAGTGGGAGTGTGGGGGGGTCCCTGCCTCGTGATGTTAAGAAAAACATTGAGTTCATCCCATGTTACTCTAAAGAATAAAAAAAAATGTTTTTGCAAAAGTTAAAGTTTGATGGAATTTACTTTTTGTTACAGAAAGAAAGAGAAAACATTGTTACAAATGGGTCTTTAACTTATTTTATGTAACTTTTTTTAGACCAGTGCACATTTTGTTTGCAGAATCCAGAATACAAAAAATGTGGACATGGGACTATCTTCCAATATGTCTGCTGGTGCATCTGTTATTCATATCAAAACGATGTATGAGTGCAGTCAACTCTAGGAACATGTTAATGTTGTATTTATAACTATTATTATAAATAATAATATATTATCGTTTTAAAAATGTGCTATATAAATAAAACTTGATTTGATTCATTAATTATAATCACCATTGGGTATAGATTTAAAGCTAATTTATATCAACTTAAAAGAGGATGCTTTCGACTTTTTCCTTTATACTTGAGACACAAATATAAACTCGCTCCAGCCTGCACAGCTTCATTTGTGTACTTTCTGGTCATCGAGCACCTGTCTCCAGGGGCGGCCGTCGTCAGAGCTGCGCTGCACAAACAACGCGTCACTGTGACCACGCCCCGCGGCAGACGGCGCCCCTAATGCGAATGGGGGGAAGGAAAAGGCTGTTATAATACAATAACGTAATACATAACTGTATCTTGCCTGTATGTAGAGAAATGCATTAACACACATGTATGTATAACGTTTCGGATGTATGTACTGATATTACAATGCCAGAAAGTGTTGTGAAACTTATAATTTGAAATGGTTTCCTCCTCTCTCCTTGATTTGGTATCGTCCAGTAAACCTAGCTGGCCTAACCAGGGAATCAGGATTATCGGCAGAACGACTCTGGCTGCTGCTAACAGGGTCACTGTGAAGGTGCCAAATAACTAGTAAAAACAATATTACCTTTTGATAAATACGCACCTGTTCACGTTTCAGTGTTACCATTACGTGTTTCACAATTTAAACCATGTCCACCCCGGCTAGAAGGAGACTTATGAGAGATTTTAAAAGGTAAGTCGATGATTTGTCAAAAACAGCTAACATTAGCCTAGCGTTAGCTTGAAATAGCTCACCTGTATTTTTTTTTCATATAAACAGTTGGATTCAAACATTCTAAACAGTAAAACATTAACGTAACGCAAACAATGTATAGTTAAATTTGAGTTTGTATGAACCTTGGACATTGAAGTGAAATAAAGCTGATTTTGTAGAAGAGCTTCGCCCGTAGCTAGAAGCTAACAGTGCTAACCGATAAATGCTAGCAGAATATTCGATATAGTTACTGTCCCAGTTTATGGCTGTTAGCTGGCAGTTAAATATATTTTTCCATTGACAAGATCAATTTAATGCCATGTATCAAACGTTAGTGTTCCGTGAACTTAAACCAGTCGCTGTTTTGTATTATATGGGGTAAGATGGTGTAAGTTACAATGCCAACCAACAATAGCTTACCTTATTTTGGAATCATAGGGTCCCTAAATTGTAGCATTAAAATAGTTAGTAAAATGTTTGTGTTAGGTTAGTAATTATAGATGGATTAGTCGTTTTTAAAGATCTAGCAACACGGATTATTATACTGAAATCCCAGACGAGTACATTGTGTTGTAAGCAAGAACAACATAAAGCCAAAGAAAAAGTATACTTCATCTTCTGCAGTCACCACGACACGGTCTTGTTATTCAGTAACAGAACACGTTGCCTTTTTCACTCAGGCCAATATAACGAAATCCCTCTATATATACATTTTCTTCCAACGTGTGTACACCTCACTGTACATTTTATTTGCCTCAGATCCTTTGATTGTCCTGAGTGTCAGCTTGTTTTATCAATTCTGACCGGAAGTGGTAACCTGCAGGGATTTGGACAGAGCTTTGTTGTGGAGTTCAGATATACAGGACTCCTTCTTTAAGACAGTCCTTTTCAAACTAAGTCTGTACTCAGTGGTCATTACAAGTGTTTCTACATAAGCTAGTGAAACCTTTTACAAGTAGTGGTTGTTTTTCTGACTAATAAGAATAACACAGATATGGGTCCTTAGGTTTATGTCGAAGGGTGTGATATTAACTTTTTAGATTTTTCCTTGTATTATTATTTTGCTAGGGTCAATAGAAAGAAAAAGATAGAACCAATGCCTACACAATGTTTTCAACTTGGACTTTAAGCTGCCACAATATGAAGGTCTCTGTCCCATCCTTAGTTTGCTAACTGGTGATGACATCACAGTTTCTCTCAGCTGAAAAAACTTTGAAGCTGTTGTGTTTGGTAAGAGGTAACAATCCACAATTTAAGCATGATGGCATTGACTTGAGGGATTTACAAAGACTGTTGCTTAGTTTTTTTCATGATATGTATATATTTCTTTCTAGCAGGCTTAATTGTTTTTTGCAAAACTTTAAAACCACGTTTTAATGGCATAGCCAAGGTAGTCAAGTAATCGATCTGTAATAATTTGAATGTGGCAATTCAGTCCCCTTTACTTCCACTTTTGCTTGTATGTTTGTTTGTTTAAAATATCATATTTGTCTGTGGCCTAGTGTTAAAAGGTAGGATGTCATTCGATTACTGAATTCACTAAACTCTGGCTAAATAAATAACGTTTCTTTCTTTGTTTTCTTTTCTTGTAAAGGCTACAAGAGGACCCTCCTGCGGGTGTCAGTGGTGCTCCATCTGAAAACAACATTATGGCGTGGAATGCAGTCATATTTGGGTAAGACATTGATACACAATCATCATTTACATTGAAATAATTTGTGTTTGGTCATTGATTTTGAACATCAATCTTCTTTTTTCTCTAACCTCACAGCCCTGAAGGAACTCCCTTTGAGGATGGTACGTTAATAACTTGTTGTTTTTTGTAGTCAGGCATATTGTCACTGTATTGAATATAAAACATCACAAACATAGAAACTTTACAGCATGTGAACCCATTATTTAATTTAGAATATATTTAAATAGATGCTCATTTTCAAACAATCGTTTAAATGTGTGTTTTTCTGTTGTGTTAAACAGCCGACTCGCAGTCAGGTTTGAAGGCTAACAAATAAATAGTTTTTGTGTCTTCTCTCTGTCCCAGGTACATTTAAACTCATTGTAGAGTTCACAGAAGAATACCCCAACAAACCCCCCACAGTACGATTTGTGTCAAAGATGTTTCATCCAAATGGTAGGAAATAGAATGTGTTCTTATCTCTTCACACATTAAAGTGTTAATATTTATGTGCAGTGTATAATTGTGTTTTCATCCACAGTCTATGCAGATGGCAGTATATGTTTGGACATCCTACAGAACCGTTGGAGTCCCACTTATGATGTGTCCTCAATTCTTACATCTATCCAGGTAGGAAGTGTTAATAAACAATGACTTAATACATGTTAAAACCAAAAAGGAAAAACTAAGAGGTGCTCAGGGTTAAGAGATATAAAGCAGAGCAAACCCTATACTTAAGATTAAGAAGCTGTAAATGCACATATTGTATGTGTTTAACTAGACAAACTGAATTGTTTTAATATCAGAATTTAAATAAAGGTTGCAAAATTAAAATCCTTCAAGTGTTTGCAAATACAGTCAACGTTAATACTGATTGGTAGGATTGAAACTGAAAATAGTTTCCACAGCCTAATCTGACGTCAAATCTCTTTTTTTTGTTCGATTAACAGTAAAAGATTCCAGTTAAAATCACCTTACACAATAAAAGTGATTTGCAGCATCATTCTTGGAAATATATTCATATATTCAGCTGATTGCTGAAGTTGAATGACCCATTAAACAATGAATAGTTTTCTACCCATGTAGTCTTAAGCCCTGTTTAAAACGAATGTTCTTTTAAATGAGAACGTGCATTTGTGAAAGGGTGTGACTGAGAGAGATAAGATGGACCTTTATTTTCCCTGTGGGGAAGTTCAGGAGTTTAAAGCAGCAACAGAGAAAGTGAAAAACAGGACAGTACAGATTCACACGAGGATAGTCAAATAAAAAATATCATTATATTAGTAACTGTTAAAAGGAGATATCACAACAAGGTAAACTTTGATAATTTTAAGGAACATGAATACATATTTGAGTTTGGGTTACTAAATATATTTACATGTATGTGTGCAGATGCAAGTACATGTCATTTGTACAAACAGGGCAGATTTTATATATTTACAGTACTGGGCGGGGGGGGGGGGGGGGTTCTCAAGGATACTGTCGAGCTTCCTCCTCGTTCTCTCCTCTGCCACCTCCAGATATTCCAGTTTTACTCTACCTACAGGCCTAGCCTTCCTCACGAGCTTGTTCAGCCTGTCAGTGGATGAATATGGCTACAGGAAGATGGTTATATTCCACTAAAAAGGTCTCACCATCAGTGCTTCTTTTCTCCCCCCCAGTCCCTGCTTGATGAACCAAACCCCAACAGTCCAGCTAACAGTCAGGCCGCTCAGCTGTACCAGGAGAACAAGCGGGAATACGAGAAGCGTGTGTCGGCCATCGTAGAACAAAGCTGGAGAGACAGTTGACCTGATCGTCCTGCTAGCTGCTCTCCATTGTTAAGCTGTGTGTGCTGCGAGTTTTAGTGGAGTACCTGTTCATTTCTGGGCCCCCCCTCCTTTTTGATTTTAAGCTTTTATGCACTTTACCTTCAAACTCCATTCATAGAATGTTTTTTTGCCCGCTAAGAGGGATTTTTTTTTTGTCCTATTCCCCTCTTCATCAGGGGAAACGTGCTGAATCTTGCCTTGATGTTTTGTCAGTATGGACTTCTGGGCCATTACCCACAAATTCTGGTGTGTTCTTACTTGCTGTAATAACTCCCAATGATAAATTATGTTTAATGTCTTGGAGGGTGTGTGAATTAAGTCATGGGTCCTCTTCTGTTGTGCTCCTCATCTTTTCTGCCAGTTAGTTTTCACAGGGCAGTTTATCGGCTCCAGTGTGATCATCGTACCCTTCCTCGTGAGAATGAGCAGCCTGAGCATCACGGACTGAAACTAAATCAGACGTATTTACACCGTGTCTTTTGCTGTGTTGTGAACTCTGTTACATGCATGACAGAAAAGAGTGTATTCACGTTCCTGTTCAGTACTCATGTATATAAGAAGTCTGCATCTGAATTTATGTACAGATTTTGCACTGGTTGTTCCCATGTCATTTTTTCAGCACTTGTAAATAAAAGAAGGAGAATCCATCTTTGTGAGGAGCTTTTATTGTGGCTGCAGATGTGACGCTATTTGACCGATAATACTTTGCTTGTCACATGAGTTAGTCTATCATGAAATCTCAGGTTTTGAGAGTGATATCAAGAAGACAAAATCAATCAAATGGTAAAACATGGTTTCACATTTTCACTGAGTATTGCCAAAGAATATTAAACGAGCCAAACAATGCTACTGCTAAGGATATTTATTTAGAATTGTATGATGTAAATCTAAATATTAAATTGTGAATTGAAGACTGACAATATCCATAGATCTCTATTGCCCAGAAATGCTTTTTAGTAAAAAAAAAAAACAACCTTGTGATTGCTTTAGCTCAGCAAACATTTGTCACCGAAAAATAGACTTTTGTGCTTAAAAGAAAAATATTTGTACTGTCTGACCTTTAGACTGCTGAAGCCTCATTTTAGCTTTAGCTGAACTTTAGAAGGCAGAGCACAGAACGAGGACTTTGGATTATGTTGTTCCCAAACCACAGAGAGGGATTTAGGAGATCTCTTCATAGACAGCAGTCGGGGGACATACTAGTGAATAACGATCCTTTTAATGTACATAAGGCAATTAGAGTGTTTTTTTTCCTTCTGGATACTAACTGCATTTCATTGGCTTGTACCTGTACGTTGCACAATGACAATAAAGTTGAATCTAATCAAATTTTGTAAAAACTAAATGTGAAACTAGCTTTTTAAAATCTGAAATCTCCTCAGTTTTGTTCAAATAACCACTCTTATCTTTGTTTGTTGTCTCTACGAAGTCCTCAGGGTAATATGTATGAATAACATTTGACAAAAGTCTTCACAACATCCTGAAATTCTCCTTTATTAAGAAATGTTTTATTTGTTAACTGAGCATAACGGACTGGGTTAAGTTGCATGCATGATGAAAACAAAGGGGATGTAACGTTAATCCAGGTTGTACTGTGTCTATTCTTTCCCAACCAGGAAGGACAAATATTTTTTTCTCACAGCTATGCAGCAGTTACAAAAATAACTATTTACAGCATCCCTCTTTACATTGCTTATTTTTTTTAACACTGTTGACAATATGGAAAACAAAGACACTACATAAAAATGTAATTTGTATGCAAAAGTGTTCATGAGGTGGATGGAGCGAGCTACCTGTTGTAGGCCCGCTCCTTCTTGGCCCTCTCTAAGGCCTTGTCCATGGTCTTCTCGTTCTCCCCCCGACACTTGGGGCAGTACCACTTGCCCTTTGGCTTGTGATGGAGCCCCACACAGGAGAAATGGAACCATTCGATGGGACATTCATCGTTATCACAGCCAATCATCTCTCCGTATGACACCTGCTCACAGAGGCAGTACGTGGGCTCATCTGGGTCGATGGGCAGGTCTGGGGGGGACACTTCTCTCTCAGACTTTCCTTTGGACCTCTTCTTCTTCTTTGAAGATGTTTTGGCCCTCTTTTCCCGGGATGCACCCACTCCCACATCCTCGGGTTGATCCAGAGCCCCGTAACTTTCCCGATTGTCTCCATTTTTCTGACGCCGCGAGCGCTTCCCTCCAGCCTTGTCTACACCTGCAGAGCTTGGAGTTAACTCATCACGCTTCTTGTCGTGATGGCTAGTTTTCCCTGGAGTTACGGTGGCTGAGGATGACGACGAGGACGACACCGTGGACGCTGCAGTGGTTGTCACGGAGGCCGGTACGGGGACCGGACTTTCTGGGACTTCTTGAGAGGAAAGGAGGAGTTCAGAGTGCCAGTCTATTTGTCGCGTTCGGTTCTCGACCAGCTCCACCTGAAATTAAGAATGTTTACATTTTACTGCAAAGCTCATCCTGCTGTTTGAACAACATGTAGTTATCTATGTGCTTGCAAATTGAACTAGAAAATAAGACTAAACTTGATTAATTTAGAGAAAGTAGTAAGTTGAAGAATGGTGTTCTTCTTATAATACGTTTTGATGATTGTGTCTGTAAAAAAGAAAAGGGTTTACTGCCTAATTCGACAGACTTAAAGGTGGGGTAGGTCATTTTGGAGAAACCAGCTCGAGATCGCTAAAATTTGAAAATACACAGCCGGAAAAAATCTGCCACTTCCTTACAGAGCCCCTCCTCCAACACACACGAACGCGCACATGACCAATGAGGGCACGAGATAAGTTTGTGCACAGATGGAAGGCTGACAGGCAGGTAGGCCATCCAGTTATTTTAGCCGGGCCGGCTAAAATGATTGGTCGTGCTTTTTACAGTACTACGGCTTCCACAGATGAAATTCTTTTATGGATTTTTTTTCAAAGCACTTAAGATATTCATTGCTATCGGGATGTTAAGAGCATTCCATGGAATATAACAAAAAGTGTATCTCGAGCCGGTTTCTCAAACTTACCTACCCCACCTTTAAATACAAATCGAAGCCACTTCTTGTTATCTAGTAATACATTATGTTACGTTGTGCTGATAACCAGAGGTGGAGAGCCACAGGTATGGGTTAACCACTTTTCTAAGAGCTAAAAATGAAGTTGTATGTTTATAATATAACTGTTTCCAACATCCCTTGTACATATGTTTTATAAGAGATACATATTCTTGTCTATATTCTATATTCTATTCTAAGTCAAAGGGGGAAGTTATATTTGTTGCAATGGTTCTGATGACCCTCCAGTGTGAAACTATACTAATAAGATTCTGCGTTTTTCAGATTTTCAAAGATTTTCTTCATGGTGTCAGATTTGGAGAGTCTTACACAAAAAGCCCTTTAAGAAGGTCTAAAATACCTGTTTTTATTTACTCTGGGTATGCTTTCTGAGCCCATTCATTCCAGGAAAGCACTTTCAAACACTAAGACCTGGAAGTTTGCCCCCTGATGCAGCGCAGGGCGTTCATAACGTACCATTTGACCGGCAATCTGTATCTTCTCATCTCCGAGCTCCTGACTGCGAATCAGTGCCCTCTGAATGGATAACTGAAGCTTCCGCCTCTGCAGGGAGTCAGACTCCCGGCGATACCGCTCATAAGCGTCATCGAGCTCCTTCAGAACATCTGCCAAACAAGAAATCAAGTGGGATAAGAATACTGTCATTTAACATATTCAAAAAAAGTTCACACTAAGTAAATATAAACTTTCAGCTTATATTCAATCACCTTGACTGTGAAGGTTTTTTTTTGCTGAATAACAGGTGAAATAACGAAAGGGGTCTAGCATGACATTTGTTTTAGCTAGGTGTCCTTGATAAAATAGCAACTGAGAATTAATGTTTGGTTCAGATATGTCAGTTCAATCATTGAACTATTATCACTGCATTCGTTTTTGTTACATTTACGAAAGAGACAAATTGGTCAGTTTTGTTTTGGTGGGTGAAGTAAGGAAAAAACCTTGTGATAAATGTAAGTCACTCTCCATAGGTGCTCACACACTAGCAATACTAATGTATAACAAATAAACAAGGACACATCCTTAGAAATCAGAGCCACACACACATTTATGTATACAAATCATTATGGTACTATGTTGTGCATCTTACAATATGATTATTGTTACCTTTTATTTTTGATTGATTTATAAGAAAAACGTCCACACTGTATATCCTCTTTACCTTGATACCTGGCATCAATTTCCTTCATGAGGGACACACTCCTCTGCAGATCAAAGGGCAGAGACTCCACCAGGTCCAAATACTCCTCCACATAATTCACAACGACGTTGCCTGGGTCGCCATTTGTCGGGTTCAACATTGCAGATCCCTCCTTATCCGGAGACACCTGCACCTGTTGAGAGTAAATCAATATGTGTATTGTTGCTGAAACGATGTTTAAATGCTGGTTTTAGGGAAAGTAGTTCATCGTTTAGTACCACTGCACTTCTCTGATGCAATTGTGTACAATATGTGTGCATTCTGTCTCGTTTATCAGTATAGATTATCTGAAATCAGTCCGGAAATATTGACTGTAATGGTGAAGATATGAAAGGGGGAGGGGACACTGATCTGGAGTCAGCCATCCTGAAAATTGCTACGTGTGCTATGAAACTGCCAACTGAGAGCTCACTAGTTCGTGGCCAAAGCAAAATAACTCATTTCTAGATATAATAAATAACTATAGTTAACATAGATAACTATGGATAGATAACATAGTAACATACAGTTGTTGCTGAGTGGACCTCAGGGTGCCCTTCTCCAATCCAACGAAGAAGACAACAAAGCTAAACAGTAGCATGATTTAACATTAGCTGGGTGAACTAGCGTATGACTAGAGATAGTGAACGAGTTAAAAAAACACACCGATGTTTTAGTGTGAAATCAACCCATAACATTCACTGATCAAATGAATAATCTATCATTTACATCAGTAACAGCTGAGTTTCCGTGTCTAATTTTAGTCGAGATGATAAACGTCAACGTATCCTGCTACGTCAAGCAGTGTTAACCAACTTTCTGTTTTAGCAACTTTGAGATTGGCTTAAAAAGCATACAACGAAATAAAATGTTCTTTAATCGTTGGCGGGCAGCGCTGAGTTATAGCAACCGACACCCCAATGTGTCAAAAACAAAGATTAACGCTTAGCCTCTTCATTCAACCACAAAGTAAACAATCACATAACACTTACATCCATATGCTAACATTACACCGACAAATCACTGTAATAAAAACCATAACACACATTATTATCAATTACTTTTACACTGTTAGTGGCCTATTTTCTATCACGATTGCTTGTATTTAACTGCTAGCCAAATTAGCTTTGATTAGCTTTCAACGCTTTGTATTATTAAACGAAGCTTTTAATAAGAATAACAGAAAAAACTTTAATGGGACTTAACCAAACGTATCTAGGTAAGTTGGTATCCAGGTGGCGTGCAGAGGAACTTACCTGTGTGGATATTATTCGTTTTTCTGTAGCAAAAGTCTGACGTCTAACCCTCCGTGATGCAGCGGCTGTTGATGCTATCGCTAGGTCGTGTGTGTGTGTGTACGGCGGATCTGTGGGTCCTTCAGCAAGCTAATGTTAGCTGCTAGCCAAAGTGCCTGAACAAATATTTTTAAATATGCGCCACAACAAAGCTGCTATGGCAACCAAAGATACAAGTGAACTATTTTAACATGTACTTCCTGTCGCGTTATCTTTGAACAAATGTATTTATTTATTGGACATTTTGCCACCAACACCATTACAACATTTAAATGTATAGTAAATTATGTTTTGTTTTAATACAACAGCTATTTGAATGGACCCAAATCACACTGCACTTTTAAGACTGCCACAAATTCCCTCTTTTTGTGTGTACGAATGTTATGTTGTACTGTGTATTGTGAGTGTTATTTTATCTTATTTGCCAGTGCCAAAGACACATTTCCATTGTATGTAAATGTAATGGCCAATAAAGTATTCTGAATCTGAATCCCTTCTACCATACATTTCACATAGGTCCCCTTATTTCGGCACATAAAGTATCGTTCTCTGCTCTCAATGATTTTGCAATGACCCTAAACACATTAAATAAAGCAGCAACAAACCACAAGACCATGGTCCAAGTCAATATTGCCCTCTATGGCCACAAAGGGACATTACCATAATGGCTTTCAAGAACTTGGTTAAAAGTCACTCCAACAAAATTTGATTTATAATTTATTTCAAAATTCAAACAGGTTTTTTTTACAGTGGCCCCATTTATCTTACCATCTCAGTTTATTTGGTGGGTTGGGAAAAATGTATCTACCTCATATTTGGTGAATGTATTAATGATCAAATGGAAGACAGTGTTTGTTAGGCTTCATTTAAAACACTTCAAACGAGTCAGTGTGTATTCCTTCGTTTCAAATGTGATAATTCAAATTTAACATTAAAACATTTTTCAGTGGTCCACCAACCACCAACAGTCTATATTACGGCTTCAAGAATGCAAAACTTAGTATGTATGTATAGTGTTTAAAACAACAGTTTTGATATAAATGTGATTCTTTCAGCTTTCAAATAGCTTTTTGAAGGCTGAACCAATCTCCTGGATCATGTCCGTTGTGGTGGTGGAGCGGCCATGTCGCTGGAACGCTTGGTTGTTGCACTGTCTTGTTAGAGAACAGGCCCCGAATGCTGCAACCATTGATGGATTCGCACTGGAGAAATAATAACAAAAATAATGGATTAGGAAACAAGGAGACATATACTTAACATGTGTTTGTTCATACAATACTACAAGTCAAAATAGCATACTGGTGGTTTAACTTTCAAAATGCACTATCATGTGAAAATAAGAATACATGAGGGCTGCAAGTAAGAGATTACTTTCGTTATCAGTTAGTCTAATATAACCTTCTTCAAGTTCATATGTATCTACGAAAAACTTTATTGGAAAAAACCCACTACAGTTTTTTACCATTTTCCATGGTGTATAATTTACAATCGTTTTTAATAATATTAAGATACATAATTGTATTAGCTTTACAAGTTTAGTTTTTTACACCAGAGGCCTTTACTACGAAACCGGTTCAACATAACCTGGATATGTTTGAGTTACCCGGCTTACCTAATCCAAAACAAACGCGCTCTCGCTAAACTGTCCTACGACGCTGGTTATCAACTCGTTAACTCAAGCCAGCGTTGCCCTATCTAGTTAGGTGCGCGTTCACATAAAAGGGGTGGTATTTGGAGCATTCGACCAATCACAAACAAGCATACTGACAGCGCAGCGCGTCATACTTCCTGAATGAAAAGTCAACTATAATATTAGACAAATATGAAGATGTTAAACCTTAAACATCCATGACTTAAACAGTTTATCCAGGATAAAAGCCACATAGCTGCACCTGCAAGGTGAATACAGCTGGTAAAATAAAAAGAGTTTGAATGCGTTCATTAACAGGTTTATGATATCACTGCCCCGTCCAAGACACGATTGGATCTGACTTTAATTACATTTGACTCGAGTGTTTCGTCAACTTAATGTGTTGCTTAAAATAATACTTCTGCATACAGTATGTGACACTGTGAGTGTTGCACGGCCAGATACGGCTCAAGAAGCTGACTCAGATAAGGAGATATATGATAAATTATGATGTGATATCATGTGATATGAATAATAATGGGACACATCGATGTCTGCACTCACAGTGCCGCGGACTGTAGGCTACGTAATGTTACTTTGATCCGGTTACTTATGTTGTGGCAGATATTTAAGTAAGCTTTCTTAACGCTAATGTTATAATAGTCAGATTGCTCTGAAGATGGGAGGGGATATTCTATTAATTTTCACGTTCACACAGTCAGTTGATTTTTGCCGGCCGTCTTTCCTGCAACGGCAGTTTAAACTGTATTTCCTTTCTCCTGTCATATGAATTGATCGCTTTAAACTCCGCACACTGAGCTCTGATTGGTCAGCAAGCAGTGCTTTTATCCTGGAACCTATCCTGCTCCGGAGGCTAGCCGTTCAGAATAAGTTATCTAGTCCGCTAAGAAGTGAACCAGCTTCGTAGGACCGGAAACCCCTGAAGTTAGCTTGCTAAACGAAAATCCTGCTTCGTAGTATAGGCCCCAGGCTAGCCGTTCAGCATAAGTTACCATGGAGATCTAGCCCGCTAAGAAGTGAACCAGCGTCGTAGGACCGGAAACCCAGAGTTTTCCCTGAAGTTAGCTCGCTAAGCGAAAATCCGGCTTCGTAGTACAGGCCTCTGGCTGTCAGGAGGCTGAACTCTCTCCCCTCCCTCCCCTCCCTCCCCTCTTTCCCCCCTCTCCCCCTTGCCCCCACTGGACTATAACTCCCCACACACTCAGACACTCAATTCCAGCACCAGACACTTTTTTACGCTGCTATGGACAATCTTACACTATGTACATTCCCTAACATATTGAAGTGACTGTTATTTTGTATATTGATTGTTGTGTTTTATCTTAATGTGTGCATATGTGTAAATGTGTCTGTTGATTGTATATATGTATAGAGGATATACATATTTGTATATTTGTATTTTGTATTCGGGATTGTTGGAAACGTTATTTCGATCTCTCTGTCTGTACAAACACACAGAAAAATTTACATTAAAGTTGACTTTGACTTTACAATATATAAACCAAAAATAACCCTATATTAAGTATGATGAATTACAACTCACACAAGTTTAAACTCTGCAATTTGAGTTTTCAATGCAAACAAATCAATGGGGGCTGTAAAGGTATATCATTTATCCTGAAACGTACATAATGTTTTTTAAATTGTTCATATATTTAAAATGGTATGCTTTTTGTAAGTATTGTTTGAAAATAAGAACACTTGTTATGGTCCTTAACAAAGGAGCTATATACTACAATTACAACAAGATGTACAAGCAGCCAATCATGCCCTCACCTTCTGCCCACTCCAGCTGCAGAGGCAGCGTGGGCCCAGTGTGCAAACACTCCCAGAGATCCAGAGAGAACATCCCCCTGTCCACCACATCTTCTCCCACTGCCCTCCACACTGCACGCGATCACTGAAAACAAAGTCAGGAAGTCACCACATGTCTCCAGAGTAACATTGCAAAGGGTGATAGATCAGCTGGAAAGTGTGTCTCCTAAATATTGTTTTCATACTGTGAGAAATCTTGACACTTACCTTTACCGCCATCTGTAATGAGATCCTGTTCTCCTTTTAGCACCATAGTGATATTGCCCATGGCAACACTGAGCTGACTGACGCTGCGCTGACGATCACTGATGTCCATGGGCTCGTGGTGCTGAGACAGCAAACACACACATGCGTACATTAACACCGAATAATGTGTTATATGCCATTATTTGGTGTCTAAATCAGCTCTGCGGAAGAACACCCACCAGCGCCTCATACAGTCGAGTGAACTCCATGAAGTTAGGTGTGAGGATGCCTTTGTGGTACCCGTGAATAACAGATGGTTGCTGTGTAACTAGCCATAATCCATCCTGTTGGAAATAAACAAATATAATAACAAAACAGACTCATTGTTCTTTGTACAGCTCTGCGAATAAAATCCCATCTGTTCAACAGCTTGAGTTTGAGACTTACTGCATCTATGATGATCGGGATATCTCTTGTTTTAGACTTCTCTATCACCTCCTAAAAGACAGGGAAAAAATAGTTATTTGGAGATAATGTAGAAGCAAATATGCAAAGAACAACAAGACTTAGGTTAAAGAAACACACTGTCCAGTTCTCTCAGGCTGCACCAAAGAAAATCTGTATATACACATCAACTTGTTTGATAATTCTTGGCAAAGTTGGGTTACAACTCAACAGTAGAATTACCCAATTTATATAAAATATATGTAGTTCAAATAGTATACACGTTTGCCAACAAGGGACTGATGGATTTAACTGTCTTTTTAAGAGTCTCCTTAGCATCAGTGCAGATGTGTCCACAGAGAGGAGTTGTTTCATGTGTAGCCTAAGTTCATCACTGTATTATAAATATCAAATGTGAAAAATGTAATGTTAGTACAGTTTTGTGTTTATGCAAGCATCTGTTCCAAGAGACTGTTTAAGTGCAGGAGGGAGTGAATATATTCCACGTGCCTTGGCTGTTTTCAGTAACGCGTCTTCTCTCCCTAGACCTGGTCCCACCACCAGGGCGTGAAGTCTCGGAAGCCATTTGTCTATCTCTTCCACTGCATTAGGACTGTCCCTTGATACACACACAGACACACACAAACACGTTAGATTTGTTTAAATACACTACTTTTGACCCGACATGGTATTGCTCTTTTTTCCAAAAGCCATATTCTTTTATGCCTTAACTTGCACATAAATAATCCAAACTTGTTCTACTAGAGATACTACTACTTTATGACATACACGGGTGATGGCCAGTAGTTGGAAAGAAAGATGTGTACATGCCTCTGATTCTCAAATAAATTGCATGCAGGATGTTCACAGAGTTGTTCTGGGTTACTGTTTGGGATATGGTACTTGCACTACACTTCTATTACAATATATTACTTTTGGCACGTTTATATTAAGTATACAGGCATAATAAAGTTGC